CAATCTGGAATCACAAGGAAGCAGAAGATCAGAGGGTGCTATTCTTCCAACCAGAACTATTGGGAGACTTTTGGGTTAAATTACATCTGTGGAAAATTGAATTTTAGCTTAAATGAAATGTTTCATGAAAAGTGCAGTTTTTGTTTGCTATGGAAAACATAAATATTTTGTCAGAAAACAAGAGTATTTGAATCAAAAGTGGTGTTAGGGTTTCCTGAGACTAATAGTATGGGGTATGGACAACATACTTTTTAGCCACTTTAGAAGGGCAGAGGAGAAGTTGGGGTGGGTGGAGGAAGGAGGCAGAGCTGATATTTGGGAAGGCACATCAGCTGTTATTCTGTTATAGCTGCATGAACCTGCAGATACCTTGACCCTAGTGAAACAAAGCTAAAGTTTTAGTGGGTTTGCTATAGAATCATCCAGATATAACAATTACATTCTCAACAGCTTATACTGGTTTGTTATTCCCATCTATACCCTTAGACATAAGCACCAACTTTTATTTTTGCCAGGGTGAACCTAAGATGATGGACATGTGGACAGTTTTACACATTTCAGGTGACAGCTGTCTTCCCAAGGTGGGGCCAGGGTCCTTGGGCCCCTACATACTCAGCTGCTCTGGCCTTAGATAGTTTATGTTTTTGCTCCCCTCTCTAAGCCAAGCTGTCTGGGTTCCTACTTCTTCCATAATGCAGCATGATCAGGCATAGCTATGGCCTTCATCCTCTCACCAAGAGAAGAATCTATCATATCTCATGGGACATATAATTAATTGAAAGAAACTGGCCTGTACAGCAGAAATCCTACAACTCCCATAAGGCATTTCATTTGGGAGAACTTGTTATTTGGCCCCCAACTTTCTGTGGTCTAGAAATATTTTAACTTGTAGTATTTCATTTTTATCTATATTTTCTACAGGGAGTGGCAGGGAGGGGAGGGGGAAGAAAAAAACACCCACAATCCGTGTTTTTAGACTACTTTGAGTAATAACACTTAAAAAAGAAGGGAGGGCTTTTTTGTATATAGAAGTGGAGGTAGTAGAAAATCAAACCTGAACAAGTACCAGCGGGGAGTGAGAGGGAAGCAAAATGGTAAGGAGAGAGAGAGAGAGAGAAACTGTGACGTGAAAGCCACAAAGTTAGAGCTGTGCTCTAGATGCTGGTGGTGGAAGGAGGGAGGAATAAGCCAAGCACTAATTAATCATAGAAGGGGGAGGAGGGCAAAGCATGGGCAAAGCACCAAGGAACCACTTTGTAAGATTATTCATTGACCACTTATTGGTAGAACAAACCGGGTGTGATTTATAAAAGTACTCAGAGGCCTCTGCTGCCTTGAGTGCCCAGTCCCATGGGCAGCTTCATCATCAAGGAAGTGTAAAAGGTGACATAAGTCATGTCTACAGGGTAAGCTTACTGTGCCAGGCAATGCTACCTGCAGATAGCCATGTGGGACAGCATGGTGTGCCTCCTAAACCAAAAACCATGGACTTACAACACCACCGGTGGACTGGGGAGCAGAGGGTGTGAGCCAACTGACCCTATCATTCAGCAGTGCTCATTAGTCCAACTGTAGTGCTATTCAGATGTGGCTACACCATTTCCAGTGCAGGTAGCAGCCTGCATGGAGCAATACAGCCACGCTTGAGGATACCACTGTTGGGCACAATGAGTTTAAAGTGTAGCTGTGACTTCAGACACCTCCCCTCCCCTCCCATTCAGAAATGTAGATCTTCCTGTGAAAGCAGAGGCAATCCTTTCCTCTTGCTCAAAAGTGCAACTGGACTTAGAGGTGTTTTTCATCCCTTTGAGCTATGGTTCAATGGAAAGCAGATAGATTATAAATCTCTATGTACATTTCCATAGTAGCACGTGATCAACATCTTCCTGAGCTCAGATCTATGCCTGCTGGATATGAAGAGACCACTTCAGGGGAAGAAATGTAGATGTTGTTGGGGTACATGGTACACAGCTTTATTTCCATTGCATTGTGGCTTGGTTCTACACTTCACAGACATGTCAAAATGTTCCCATGCTTTAAAGCAGTTAAAACAGTAGTTTCCAAGGTACCCCTTCTTAGATTCAAGTTATCCTTGGAAAATGTCTGTTCTTAGCTTTCAATAATTTATTTTTATGACATAAAATAATACAGGAATTCTTCTGTTGCAAAGAGCTCAGAAAGACCACAGCAGAGCAGAATATTTTTCTGCACACAGCAACTGACCCCTCTCACAGCAGGGAAGAATATTCTTATACTATGGATTCCTATTAGAAATTTCTGGGCTTATCCTGTGAGACATGCATAGGTGTTTACACCTTAACAATGCTAATATTGTGTGGCACCCTGAGGCACCATTAAAAGGATGTCATGGCACCCTGGTTGAGAATTACTGCTTTAAAGTGTTTTCAGGACTAGGTCACCCACATAGATTTAATTCACTCTTTTTCTATGTACATACATATAAAGAGAGAAAGGGTGGATAATTGATTAGGCATCTGGTGAAGGCCATGAAAAACATGCAATCTTGCCAAAATTATTCAAAAATCATGAGTCAGACCCTCTTCTCCCCCCAAAACATGAGAATGTAACTCACAATGTAATCAATCTCTTTCTCAAAAATAGCAAAAAACCCCAAAAGAAATACTCATGATTTGTGTGCAGTCATGTCATCCATTCCCACCTTCAGTCATCTGGGTGTGACAGCCAGCCCACTCTCCCAGATGTATATATTGAGCAGATCTGGGCCCTTGCTGCATGAATTTTCACTCCCAGATGATAAAGTTACCATTCCATCAACTGCCCTTAAGCTTGTTGTGCTGCTACATATGGACTGTGTGCTAAACTGGAAGCAGCATAGTTGCTAATTAGCTAGGGGTAGGTTAATTGGCACAAACATTCAACAACACTAATTAGTGCACTCCAAGTGTTACACAGAGGTGGCAATCATTTTTTACTTTATAGGAGGTTGCTGTCTCTGGGGAGGGTAGGTTTACTGTATATTACTGCCTTAGTCTACCTGGGTCAGTATTTTATATGGTAGTTAAGTCAGGAGGAATATAGCCATCTCTGTGCAATACTTCAGGCAGGCTAATTAGCACTGAATACTGGCATCAGTTGGCCCATATCAATGCCCAGTAGCCTGTCCGTAGTACCATGTTGATGCAGCTACACAGTTTCCAAGTCAGATGGCAGCCTGTGTGGAGTACCTTTGTTTGAGGGTATCACTGTCTCTTAAGGCCAGTTTGCTATGTAAATTAACACAGACCAGTCTAATGAGAAGTCCTTTCTTGCTAGGATTCTAGTGATCCCAGTAAATGTTTTGTCTGGATAAGGATTTACTCCAAAGAAAGACAGAATGCTGAAAAGGATCCGTGTTTGTTTAAATGCATGTTTAACACTAGGTGGCAACATGAGAAAAGGAATAGGCTTTCACACAACCAAACCAAACTGATTTATGGTACCAAAGTGCAAAGGCCCTGCTTCTGATGTAAAAAGAAAGTGCTGAAAGCAAATACAGAAACAGAGCAGGGAAAGACAGTGGGAAGCAAAAGAGAAATGAAGAAAAAAATGAAACAGCATCTTTTTTTACAAGCAAGGGTGTTTACTCTTGCATCCTCCTACAAGTCTTACGGAGAGAAGGTGAGATTATTAGAGGTTCAGCCTTAGCAGTATCAGGTGTGGGTTGTACTGGGGTGACCAATCTTACTGTTCTCATGGAAGCGATGAGAAGAATGACAGGGACTGAAGAGGAGCCAGTTCTGAAAAAACGAAGAATACTCTAAATTTCAGTC